TTTAAAAGTTTTATTAAATTGCTTAATAAATTATATCTCTAAAACTTAAATTAAACAAGTTCACCTTGAAATACTAATAAAATTTTTGCAAAAATTTTTTTTATAAAATTAGCTATTTTTAGCTCATATATAACCTTAAATTTTTTTCTTATAATATAAAACAAATACTGCAAAAAGATAATCCTTATTTTTAAATTTTTTTTTTTTTTTAAACAAGGTCTTTCCTCAATCTCTTTATTATGATATAGAAAAATGAATTACATTTTATATAAGTAAGTAATAATTATCTATGTCTATAGAAGATAGAGGTAAAAGCTAATTTATTCTTGACCTAAGCTTAGCTAAAAAAGTCGAAGACCTCTAGTCTTTGTATATTTATTAAAGGGTTAAGTAATTGTGAGTAATATAGTTATGTAATTTAGAAAAAAGTAAAGTGAGTGAGTTATTTGAAGTTTTGTCTGGTATAAGTAGTTGTAGAGGTTCAAGATCTAATAAGAAGGTTTCATATATATATTGTCTGAAAAGTAGCTAAATTTCATCATATATTAACAAAGTTATTGTATAATGTAATAGTAGAGTAAATTTTTTCTTTTGTATTATTTTTCAAATAGAGCTATAGTATCTTCTATAATAAATCCAATAGGATAGCCTCTAACCAGATATAAAACTTTGTAGTTATATATAAAGTTGTCTATACTAATTATATTGCTTTCTGTTTTTTTGCTTATTTTTTGAATAGCTTGCTGAATTAATATCTCTAGTTTTATTTAGTTGCATAAACAAGTAATAGTATAAGAAAATTCTTCAAGTACTGTACAACAGAGGTAATTTTTGTATTTTGTTGGATTACAGTAATATTTAATAAGATGCATTAGCAATTCATTAGCTAAGATTTTTATTTTGAAGTTTTTTAGATTAGCAAGATGCCAGTTTGTATTCAGAGAGAGAGGTGCTTCTCTGTATGTCAAATATTCAGTTGTATAGCTTCAGTTAATATCACTTATTATTAAAGACTATTGTGTGATTTAGTTTTGATTTACCTATTTAAAACAATTTTGTGTATCTGTAATTACTTTAAGTATTGTTTTAGTATTATATAAACATGGTATTTGTAGGAGTTCTAAGATAAACTGATTATAGAGAAATTTGTTTGCACAAATATCTAAAGCAAAGGTTCTACTAGATGAATTTCTAATTTCTAAGTCTTTATCATATTCTATTCGAGTATTTAAATTTGCTAACAATGCTTTTAATACCAAAAGAACAGGTATATAGTTCTGTTTGCATAAGCTTAGGAAGTTATATAAGTGAATATTAGTTAGTTGAGATATAATTTCTTCTAGTTTTGAATATTTAGTTTTAATTATCAGTAATATATTTAATTGTAATATAGTAACTATATAAATAAGTAATATTAATAGAATATTAATCTGCAAGAGCCACTTTGTATTGTAGCATTATCATGTTGTTTTTGAATCTAAAAATTTGCATAGTAAAAGTATTTAGTTTGTATCAGTATTTCTTTTTGTAATAATAGAAACTTCAACTTTGTTTTGTAGAAAGTTTTCTTTCATTAGTAGTTTTCAGTATATTTTTGGAATTGTTTCAAATATACAGAGAGATCTAGGTTGTAGTATCTATTGTAGAGTTTTTTCAGTATTTCTGTTTTTAGTTATTTTAAGTGTATTTTGTATATCTAACAAATTGGCATATACTTTAAGTTTGCTATCTACTTGTAGCTTGAATACTTTTGTTTGATTTGATGATATTGTAAAGTAGCATTCTTTTCTTTTAAGATTATAGTCTTTTAGCCTACAACCTTTACAAGCTAATACACTATTATTTTGTTGTAGTATATAGTGTCAAATTAGAGGCTGAATAGCTTCAAAATTGATATAGCCTATTGTTAAATTATTTGTAATAATCTATTTGGCTTTAGATAGCTCTATCTCACAGAGTGTAAATAGATTAGGAGTTATATAGTCTATTGAAGGATTTGCTAGCTTAGTAATTAGATCACCAATTTTTGAAAACTATTTAGAAGCTAGACTTTATAGAATTTTTTGTATGTTGTGGTAGAAGCTTGTCCATTCAAGTAAATTCAAATTATCTGAGTTTAGAAACTGTTCGATACAAGATATATTGTGTATATTTAGTTGTTCTTTAAAGTTTGCATGTATCAGAGGTTTCTGTTAGTATATAGTTAATTGAGGTATCTAAAAGATTGATAAGAAGAGGCTAATTGTTAAATTTATGATTGATTTGTAGATTAAGTTAATGGAGTGCAGTTATAGCCTATTCAGTATGTATTTTGTATTGTTGTTTTAGAAGTATTGGTAAGTATATAAGTATAGAATTATTTGTATAGGTAGTATCTTGAAATTGTTACAATTAATATTTTAAAAAGGAAGAATCAAAGTCTAGTTGATTTAATGCTTTTATTAAATTGCTTGCTAGATAAGTTGTTTGAGTTTGTCAAAGGTCTTTTAAAGCATATATATCAGAATTAAAGAAGAAAGAGTTTGGTATTAAATAGGAGATTTTAGTCTTATATCCTACTATACTTGTATATTGCCTTATAATATATGTAAGTTGAGTTAGAGTAAGGTAAGTGCTATTTAGCCTATATGTTAATCAAAGAATTATTATATTGTTAATAATATAAATAGATTGTTTTCCTATTATTTGTGTAAACTGCATTAACTTTAGACTATTTCTTGCTTCTGTTAGTATCTTTTTTTGAACTATTAATGAACTTCTATTTTGAGTAAACCAAGAGCCTAAATATTTGAGTGGAGTATGTTTGTTATTTGCAGTAATTATCTGATCTTAGAAGGTAATTTCTTTGATTTTATCAGATGAGTTCATAATTAATATTAATTTAAATAGATTTATCTTTATGTTCATAAGTTTGTAAAATGAGTTTGCTATTTGAAGAATTTCTAGAAGAGCTTGTTTGCTTTGTGCTAAACAAAGTAAGTCATCTATATATGTTAAAGTTGAGATATATATATTTTTAGGTCTTGAAGTAGTATAAATAGTAGCATTGTAGCCTATATACTAATTGTGAACTCTGTATATTAGAGAATCATAGTATATCCTTCAAAGTAGAGGTGAAAAAGTCTCCTTCTGATCTATTCCATCTTCTACATCATATGGCTGAGTAAAATCTTGGTCTGTGATTACTTGATTTGTTCAGTTATTTAAAATGAATAAGAGAGTATTAGAGATTTTTTTAGGTATTTGAATTCTATTTAGTGCTTTTTCTAATATCAGTATATATATAGAATTAAATATCTTTAATATGTCTTATGAAAGTAACTAGTATTCTTGTTTTGTAGTTAAGGTATCCTCTATTATATTCATGAGATGCTGTATAGGTTGTAGAGTTGATTAATGTAGTAGTGCAGCAAAGATGTATAGTGATAGTACTGAATTTCTAGCTAAAATCTTTGTTAGATGTTTTGTAATTATTTTGGTAAAAATTTTCCTAGTATAGTCAATAAGTATAATTAGTCAGGTAGTGTTTAAATCATGAGTATAATATAATTTTTTAGGAATTAGCCATATGTTAGATTTTAACTATTGGTTTGGTATAATTTCTAGTTCAATATATGTATTAAAAATATCTAACAAGTGTGAAATAGCTATTGGAGACAAGTGTTTTAAAATTTTATTAGAAAAACCTAAAGGACCTGTAGCCTTGTTTTTAGGTAATATATTGATTATTAATGTAATCTCTTGTATAGTAAAAGGTAAGAGCATAGAGTTATAGATTGAGAAATTAATATGCCTTAGTGAATAATAATAAGGTTGCTATTTATCCTAAAGTGTATTGTCATAGAGGTTATATCTTGTCTACTGTGCAAAGTATGATTGTATTTTAGCTAATATTTGTTCTTTTTCTGTAATTATCTTGTTAAGACAGATAATATTTTCAAAGCTTATATATGGTTTGTGTTATTGCAAAATACTATTTATCATTTGGCTAGTATTGTTTTTAAAGTCTGAATATCTTCTTTCTGTGTAAAATTTTATTCTTTCTAATTGTTTTAAGTTTTTTTTAATATTGTGATTCTTTCAAATAGTATTTTTTAACTGATTGAGATCTTGTAATATTTTAGTATAGATTGTAAGTATAGTATTGGGAATTAGTATAGCTGAGAATATCTCTGGTAATAGAGACTCAACCTCTATCTCAGCTAGAGTTATAGCTTTTTGTAGATATGCATTTAAAATTTGAGTATCTAGTGGTATGAAAAGAGTTCTAATATTTGCAATATATCATAGACATTTTTTAATATTATTTAGAGCTGAATATAGTTTAGTTGCTTTTAATAATAGAGTGTTAAAAGTTTTAAATACTTTATAGATACATGAAATGTATTTGTTGATCATCTTTTTAATCGTAGCAGACTATAAATACTATTGTTTGTTTAGCATTGTCTTATCTGTAATAGAAATATAGTTTGGTTGTATTAACATTTTGTTTTGAATAGTTTTTGTAAATTGTTCCTAATCTTTATTGCTTATTTTTGTGTAAAGAAGAATTTTCCTTTTCTTTTTCTTGTTTCTAGAATTTGAACAAGTGAAGTCTGTATACCAAGTAGTAGATAGAATAATATAGTCACTATTAGTGATACTAGTTGCTTCAATTAGAGTTGGTATATCAAACTTTTGTAGTAGATCAGTTAATATCTATATATTATCAATACTACTATAGCTATTTCTATATTTTCAAGTTGAAGTTGTAATATTAAATGAATTTAGAAG